TTTTTTACTCTTTACCCTTGGCATCTCTCTCCTTTTGGCCAGGTCAGACGGCAGCCTTTGTAGAGCACCATGCAGGAGTCCACATAGGGGAGCTGGGATTCCAGCATTTGGTGCATGTGTGTGCATTTGTGTATGCAGCAAGGGGTCAAAAGTGGTGGTGCCCGGGAGGTGGGGGGACTTTGCCAGTTGGCAGGCTGGCACACAATGGCTGGCACGATAAGATCCTCCCTCTTCTGCGGGCAGATTTCCTCACCCATATCTTTTGTTTGGCTTGTTTGGGTTGCAGCTCATCCTGATAAAGGCCACTTTGTTTAGACAACAAAGCGTGAGGGATGGAGAAAAGAGTGTGATTGAGGGACAAAGAGGGTAAATAAAACAGAGATGAATTAGAAAAAATACACAACATAAGGGAGAGTGCTAACAAAGATGGAAACACTTACAACAGAATAAAACAAGATTATTTCGATGAATTTAAATAAAAGATACCACTGGCCTTTTTCAATGATGAGTATTACCGTAGTATAGTAGATAGTATTAATATAGTCACTAACACACAATGAATGGTACATACACATGGAGGCGGTATGAGGAGGTACAATAGAAGACAGATACTGTTGCAGGCACAGGGACAACAATATGAAGATAGTGAGGGGAGGAAAGAGATTTGAAGAAGAGAGCAGGTTCTGCTGGCTCCTGGAAGCCAGCCCCGGTAGTGTGAGGTCATCAGCAGAGCTGTGAATGATAGAAAGCAGGAGCAGAGCAGGACATGCGACATAGTGTACACACACAAACACTGCACATGTGCACGTTTACAGTTTTTATGGCATACTGTCAAGACTTTCATGACCTCGTGCTTTACTGTACTCACACTCACTTGCAGAAATGCTCAATGACACGCACGCTCATATTTCAACTATGCATTTGCAGGGATAAGGAAAGAAAAGCAAGAGGACACTGAGCAGAAAGTCTGCTCGGCCACATCAAATATTTACTCAGGAGCAGCTGTATTGTCGAAACATCACGCATCGGAGTTGCTTTGTAATTAGGTCGATATTTTCTGCCCCCTTTCCTCTCACTGTTTCCCCTACTTCTTCAGGAGTCCACCCCTCTCTGCCTCTCCTCCACACTGCCCTCCCCTCGCCTCCCCAGGCTGCTGAAATGCGTCTTGGCTCAGGACCCATGCCTCTGGCAGCCAGAGTGTTATACATGTGCACAGAACCCTGCTCGGCATAAAATGGCTGCCAGACAGGCTTCTCCTCCTGAAATGTCGACAGCGGTATGCATCTGCAGGGTGTGCATGTCGCGCGTGCGCACACTTTTTTTGTAGTGGATATCTGTACATGTCTGCAAGAGTTTGCCACTTAAAGAACGCACGCCGCTTCATCCAAGACAAGAAAGGTTTACTAACTAACTGCAGCACGAGGCCAATTTAGTCCACTCTGTATGTTGTATGTTTATGTGTGTTCTGGAGTTTAGTGGGAACGGAGTGGGTAACGTGCCAAAAAATCGAGTGGGTGGGTCGGGGAGAGAGTGTGCAAGTGTTTAAGTGATTATAAAATCCAGGGGAGTAGCACACTTGGGCGTTGAGACGCCTCACAAGCAGTGAGAAAGTTTCCTGCCCCGGCCAGATTTCTGTTCCCATTACTGTAAATTGCCCTAATCGTTACAATGGAATGATAACTATCTCTCTGGACAAAAAGGTGTAAGAACTCCAGGACTCATCCAAAATACCCACAAAGCTCTCCTGCTACTCCCCCCCCCTTTTTTTCTGCTGACTAACAGCAGATAATCTGATTCATGTGTGGTACTGTTTTTTTCGCTTCCTTCGTGAACCAGTATGTTTATTTAAACAAGTGGCAAGGACAGCGGGTGCCAAGAAATGTTGTTTTTGGAAAACAGCCGTGTGTGTGTGTATATGTATGTGAGTGTGTGTGATTGAGCTCTGCCAAGCTTGCAGGGCAAAGCTCGGCCTCCTCGGCCGTAACTGTTTATTTACAGGTTACACTACTGTTTATTTGAGGACTATCAGATTGGCTGGGCTCCTGCACTGGACACCTTTAAATACAGATGCCAGTATTCTCCCCGTTTCTAACCCGTTTCCAGCACTTTTTAAGAACATTCAGCCTTTTATAAATGCAAAAGGTAATATTTCAATTTACCTATGACTAAAAATAAACCTCAAGTACCTGTTGAGGAACAATGAAGTACTGACTGTAAAATACTGCAATAAATGGTCAAACTGACAGAGCTGAGAAATGCACATTTGCACTGAACAATAACATTACACTGTAAAAAAAAAAAAAGAGTGGAGGGCGCACGAAGCAGCCTTTCTAAGGTCAAAGGTAGAATGTAATGCAATAGGAGAGCTGTTTCCAGGTCTAGTGCAGGCCTGGCAGATGCTCCATATGCCTGCATCCAACCTTGAGTCATCCAGGTGGTCTCTCCTGGTGCTACAGTGGGGCCTCATGCTGGAAGAAGCTTCCTGGGATCTCTAATTGCCACAACCATCTGCTCTTTTTGTCATGGTTGCCTGTTCAGCGTTTGACGAAGGAAAAAGGGAAGCAAAAAACAAAACAGAAAAAACTAAACAAAACCACAAACTCTGATCCGATCTAATCTAAACAACATGACACACCTCTCTTTCCGTCATCACCCTTTTTTGGTACTCTGTTTTACTTTGTTCTTTTCTCCCTTTCTGCTTCTCCCCTTCTCAGCACTTCTCAGGGAGCGAGCTTGAACTTGGCAGTCACAACTAGACTGATGGATGAGTCTGAATGTGGCATACAGGGGGTGGGGGAGGGTGGTACAGTGGAAGACAAGGAAACAAGGCCACTGAACTCCCAGAAACCACTCTGTGGCCATGTGTCATGGCAGATCCACACAAACCTCAATTCCCCCATAAATGCTGCCTTACATGCTTTGCATGTGTGCGTGTGCATACAGTATATGTGTGTGTGTGTTCAGAGGGCAGGAAAGGGGAACCTTTTTTCTATAAAGGGCCATTTCAATTTTTATAACTTCCTTTGGGGCTCGTACCTAATTACTGAACACATATATATTACACAAACTTTGCTTAAACAAAGACTGGAACTACTTTTCTTTGGCGAAGCAACTGATGTCAGATGGTATCGATGATGACATATTATTTTCTATTCCTTTTGTTTCAGTTTTTACTCAGAGGAGTCTGCTTCGAAGCATTGCACTTACTGCTACTTACTTATGCAGTTTCAAATTTTTTTGAATACTTGGAATCAACTATGTACTGCATTACAAATATGAGGAGGGAAATAGAAATGTAAAGCATTTCTATTGTCTTTAAATCTTTTGTTTTATGGACAATATGACGCACAAGACATTATTGTCACTGAATGTCGTAATATTCAGATTCACAACATATGTTGATGTCACTACTGTTTTCATTTTATTTCTTCTTTTAATCTAATATTATGTATAAAGCGGCTTTTCAGAGGTTATAAAAATAACTACGGAATGCCCACATTTATATATACTGTGTGTTGTAGTGCTATTGTTTTTATTATAGGTATTATTAATGGAGAACATATAATCATAATCATTATAGTCTTCCTGTTCCAAGTGCCTCGTATCTGCTTCGTTCATGTCAGTGCAAACTGACTTTCTATTGGGTTTTGGACCACTGACAAAACAAACAGTTTAGAGACACTACTTTGTGGTCTGGGAAATCGAACAGTTTCAAGACTATGAAACATTGAGGAATAAACAATGTCAATCTGGTTCACATGCAGACATGAGCGATTGAACAGACCCTGAACTGAAATTACCCAAACCTTTAGGAGCACAGCTTATGTTTTTACTTTTATAGGAAGCAGAGCGGAGGCCAATCGTAGGGCCATAACTAGTATGAGTCTTATATGTGTTCTGGGGGGTGAGCGCTCTAGAAAGAGGGGATTTATTTTTCCGTTTTAATGTATGGTCCTGTTCCCTCCCTACTTTGTCATTGTTGAGCTTCGGCCAAGAACATTCTGTTTTTGCAGTCCTGTTTAATAGTCAATTTCAGTAGAGCTGGAACAAGAGTGAGCGGGAGAGAGACATAGAAAGAGAGCAAGAAAATGATAAATCTTTTTTCTTCTTTTTTTTTTTACTCCCACTTTTTTTTCTCCCCATTTTCCTGTGTGTTGCAGCTCATGAGAGCTGGGGCAGTGTTGTTGCAGACGAGGGTATCTGAGTTCACTGTTTACAGCTTCTGTCTTGCCTTTTTTGGGTAGATATTCATTGTGGCATTCAAACAGTGCACTTACACCCAGTGTTTAGCAACCAAAAGCAACCCATATACAGATATAAAAGTTATAATGTTGCAAGAACTGATGAAATCTTCCAACAATTCCCATAATTACTTGTGATGTGAAAGTGAGGTCTCCCTGGTGCATGTGTTGGTGATGAACAAGAGCAGGAGCTGCTGAGGACAGATCGAGTCCCCTCCCAGCAGGGCTTAGAGGTAAAAGACGTCAATCCAGGCCACCTCATACCAAAGCCTTTACACTGTAGTTGGTGGAAAGAATTCCACTCATGTTTCCTTGTATTTTCCCGCCCCTCCTCTCCTCTCTCCACATTTTGTTCAGTGCTCGTACCTTGCACAGCAGGACTGAACACATTCTGAACCCACCCAACCCTCACTCAGCCCCTATGAAAAATTAACCCAGTGGTCTGCTGGTGAAAAAAAAGCCAATTTTAATCTACAGTTTCATTAAACTGAACACCCTAATTTATCATTTTTATATAATTATGATAATCCTCAACACAAACACAAATACGTCATGATTGGAAAGTGAATTTCTGTAAGGCCGAAAATAATGAAATGTGACGTGAAAAAACTCAGGTTTCTTTCTGTTTCTTTCCGTTTCAGGACGAAAGTATGTTGTTGTCCTTATGTTATACTAAACTCAGCCCCTCCTCTCTCTCTCTCTCTCTCTCTCTACATGTTTGCAGACTCGCAGCAGTCAGGAAGTCCCAGTAACAATGAGCCAGGCAAGAACCCTCTTCCAGGTATGTGAAGCACCGCTGCTCTCTTCTGTCATCTGCCCATTGTTCCACTCAGCAGCTCCACTCACTGTACAGCAGACCACGTCCATCACGCCTTACCTAGTTTCAACTGCACCGATCTGCTGTGAACCCGCTGACTTGCCGAGCGGCGTAGACTGTACTTTAATGAAAACAAGCTGCGGCCTGGTCGCAGAGCATGAAGTCTAATGTACTGTGCAGCCTGTAAGAACGACTTTTTTGCGGTGGCATGGGTGTCAGTCTATCATCAGTTGACAAAGGATCATCAGTTTAAAAAAAAAAAAAGGGACACATTAAATGTAAGAGATACAGTTTTAGCAAGTAAAACATTTATACAACCTTACTGTGTGATCAACTGGATCGTGTCCCAAACAAACACACAGTGCTCACGGTGGAGCTTAAGGGTGTCCTAGCAAAACCTTTAAAAATATTCTTTGACAGCGGTGTTCTAATTAACTGACCTGAACACTGACGTCACAGCGCTGGTATTAAAATAGCTTGAGAAGCATAATTAGTTTTCTACCACAAGAGCAGGTTCTGCTGATGCTAGTGCCAAGGAAAACATGTCAAGGAGCCACAATGACTCAGTCCTGTAAGGCTGTCAGCAGTGGCTCAGTCGCTCTAAAAAGTCATTGGCCCACAGGAGTCCGAAGGCTTTTGAAGGTATCAGTTGAGCTGCCTATCTTTCTGGCACAGCCGAAGTGAACTTGGCATCACATCAAAGACGACCTAGAGTCATTTGGGTGTCGTGAACTTGTCAGCTTTACTTGACTAATTAGTGTTTGCTTAGCCTTTAAGAACATCATGGGGGAAAAGATACAAAACTTTGTAATACTGAATAATGTTTATACTAAATATTGCTTTCTAAAAGCAGAGGTAAAAAAAATGTTGTCAGAAGGAAGAAATGTTCTACATTTAAAAAGTCAGAGCAGTCTTTGCACTCAAAAGAGTGAAGCGCTTCAATTTTTTACAAAACTTTTTATATCCGTGCTACTTGATCTCTTGAAACGGAATACATTCTCTATCTAAACAGAATTAGAGTTCACATTAGTTAGAATTTACGTGTTGTGTGTTCAGCAACGCCTCAGGTCAGCATCGGTTCGTGTGTCCTGCTCAGTTGCACAGACTTTGTCATGCTTTTCTCCTCACACAGTATAAATGTATTAAAATAATGATGTGCTGTTTTAATAAAATGTAAAATGTACTAAAGTGCATTTCATTAAAAACTGATAAAAGTGAAAGCACTTGACCATAACCATTTATTTAACCGACTGTATGTTCTGTGCTTTTGTCCACAGTCTACTTGGAAGACAGCTTCATCAAATCAGGAGTCTTCAGTGTTTCAGAACTGGTGCGGGTTTCCAGAAGTAAGTTCATTTTCATTGTGATTTGTCGGTTAAAACATAATATAAAAATACTACAGAAATTTTGCAAAAAAGGTTTTCAATAATGTAATAAAAACAATTAAAATCTGTGTATAGTGGATTCAGCACTGAAACACTACAGATAGACACTACAATTATTTTTTTTTCTTTGGTAACATCTCTTAATGTGCTTGTCAGATAATTAACACTAATTCTTTTACTTAGTAATAATATTATGACAAACCTGTAATTTGTTTAATAGCCATTTCCATTTAATTCCAGACAATGATTTTTCCCCTTCTGTTTGATTGCAGTAGAGTTGAAATAGTATTTTTAAAAATAAAAACTCTTTTCTGCAACTTTTTCATCTTCTGCTACTGCTGTGTAAGCCTTTTGGCTTATATATGCCCTCTGCTGGAAATATTCATTATGAGTCAGGTCCAGAGAAATGAGTGGCCCTAACAAAGAGGAAAGGAACGTTTTTAATAAAGTAATGAACAAGCTAATGTATTGGTTACATACAGTATATCATCAAATATTTAAATTAGAAATTACTGAAATATAAAAACATAAACTGCCTTTGCACCTTGAACAGTAACAAAAAGCAGCTTTGTGCCTTTCTACCAAACACATCCTGTGTGTGTTTACGGATATTGAACATATGTGGAACAGTGCAGTGGTGAATCCAGCTGAGCCAGTCTACTTTTGGTACGAGAGAACCTGACTGTGCAGTGTCTTGTGCACAGACCTGTGTGTATCTGCAGGGACATGTCTGCCTTCCACTTAGTCGTTGACAGTTGTTCTTCCTGGAGTCCTCTTCACTCCGAGGACACCCCGAGGCACCGTGTACAACTGTACTATCCCCGGCTACACCTGAAAGAGCACAGACTAGAGAAAAGTGTTGTTAAACTGCTTTTCTTCAGCTCAGCGCTGCAGTCCAGGAAAATTTTGATTTCTATAATAAGATCCATTTAGTTTAAAAGAAATGGCGGGGTTTTTTTTTTTTCAAAATTTAAAACATAATAAATTATAATAAATAGTGTATACAATATCAATTTGTTTTGATGGTGCTATTATATGTTTTAATAATTATTCCCTTCAAAAGCAGGTACCTAAATAAATATATAATAATATTTTTAGAAGTAATTCAGACTGTCAGTTTTTTTTAATAAAATATTATAAAATATATATTTTTAGAAGTAATTCAGACTGTCAGATTTTTTTAATAAAATATTCAGTAAAATGAAAACCAAGAAATAGTACCTTTGTTGCATTCTTTTTCTAAATGAGTACGGTAACTTGTAGTAAACTTAAAAAATGAGTTACTATTAATGTTTGTCTGCTGTTTATTTACACTAATAAAAAAGAACCATTTATCAAATTATTTATTTATACCATTTTAAACAAAAATCAAATCCACCTTTAAAATAACAAAAACATTAATAAAATGTGGAACAGCTTACAGTTGTTTTTTTTTTTCCAAAAAAAAAAGTGCATCACAAAAAGTGTGAAGCTCACACAGATGCTTGGTTCATTTTCCTGCAGACATGACATCAAGGGCAAACTATGTTTCATAGTTTATGTCGACCCCGGTCTCTGTTTATCTTGTATAGTGAATGGTTGTTTTCTGATTTTTCCACCGTACACTGTAGGACTAAACATACTAATTACACTGCTGTGAGACTGAGCACGCTGCAGAAGTCTTGTGTTATTGTCTGGTGTTAAATGTGCCCCCCCGACCAGATGGCCATTGGGCTGGCGGGTCTGCTCTCATGTGACGGAGCCCAGTTTCCCCAAAGCTGACTGTAGCTCTGATTGGAATTTTAAAAAGGTCGATGGACGCACAGGAATTGTCACTCACTCAGCCGGTCACTCCCTGAAATAATATCTGAGCAGCCGCTCGTCCGTCATCGTGCTCCTCTCCCAACTCTCCAGGCTGTTGAGACATTCTTTGAAGTCCATCAAAGGGAGCTGCTGGGTTCAAGGCAGCGCTCGGATGAGGGCACTCATTAATGCGACAGGGGCTTTGACTGCAAGTGCAAAAAATATTTTGTCAACAGAAAGTGGACGACAAGCACAGGCACATAAAACTGTTCTTCTAAGGTCAGGGAGACTACATTTTTTCCTCAAGAGTCATACTCACTATACAGTAATGTGATACAGTACGATGAGGTAATCTGCTGGAAGAAGCACAATACGATCTTTTTTGCAGTATCCTTTTATTTCATTGTCTGTTTCTAGCCTAAAAGTCAAAGCCCGGTCTGGTAAATGAGATGATTGGCAGGGCGGCCAAATGGCATCAGAGACATTGTTCTAAGCCAAGAGGAGAGAAGGAGAGATAGACAGAAAGAGAGAGTTGGGCTGGGGGAGTTTTCTCATCCATGAATGAAAAAGCAAAACAATGGCCTTGTATTCGGCATCCTCAGCCCGGATGCATTCCACCACAAACAGCTCGGTATGGGTGGCAGCGGGTTGGGGCCTTTGCCAGGGTTACAGTGGGCTGCCAGGGCAGAGGCTGGTGGAGGGATCGTGCCAGTGGTGAACCTCAGACCACAACAGACGGCGCCACACACTCCATGCTCTCATCGACTACCAACCAAACAACCGCTCGAGCTGTAGGCTGCCTCCACAGCCCACACACTGAAGCGAAGGAGAGAGAAAGACGAGAGAGAGAAGGAGAGACGCAGAGAGAAAGTGAGGGGAGAGGATGAGAGAGGGGTGAGAGAGTGAGGATGGGTGGTGAACTCCTATTATTCTATAAACACCCACTCGGCCTCCCTTGAAATTGAATCCCTCACCTTGACCGCAGCGAAGAAAACAACACCTTTTCCACCATAAATCACTCTGTGAGAGAACTGCTGAGTATTGAGCCCAGCCATAGAGAAATGAAGAAAGTGTTGATGGCTGTGAATTTGCTTTACGGCCTTTGAACACTTACTGAACATCCCATGCTTTTGAAGGAACACAAACCATTACTTGGAGCAAAAAAAACAAAAAAAAACAGCTTGTTAACAAATCTAGGAGTAGAAACGACTGTGTCACTGCCATTTGTCTAAAGTTGTTGATGTTAGTTGGAGCCACTGGTTATTAGAAATGACATAGGAATCACTTAAAGAGTTCCAGACTGGACTGACTTCACCTGAGCTCCTTAGATTATACTTAAGTTTGTCTAACTCACCTAGGATTGGCTCAGTACATTTTAAAGCTGAAAAGATAGCCCAAAATGATAGGACATTACTTACAGAACTGACCATCTGTCGGTCGCTCAATTCTCCTGGCCTAATTTTGATGGCAAATCATTATAAGGCTACACTAGTCAGTGTGATGACTTTGCTGGTAAATACAAAAAGTATGCTTCCATTCTATTTTGCTTAAATCATTACCACAACATCGTCATCATATAAAGACGAGAATGGTTTTTTTTTTGCAGTTAATTTTTTTTTATCATTCTCAGCAACACAAGGTTAATTTTTTTATGGAAAAAAATGCTACTGTCGTCGCAGTGTGAGAAAAGAAGAGGCTTGTTAATCAGTGCTCAGCAGAACTGCCTGTGATGGTCAGACAGTTAACCTGTGAATAGGGAGTGCTTAATGTGATACAAAGAGCCTCTAAACGCAAAGCATCAATAATGGTCCGTCACGCCGTCGTGTAATTAATTGTGCGTCTCTGGATGCAAGGTTGGAGAAAGACAGCACTCAGTCTGACAACTCTGCTGACACGGAGTTCCCTCTTTGCAGCAACGGCAGCATTAACTGTGTCCCTCTTTGGTTTTTGTCTGTGTCCTCTGCAGCGCCCATCACCCACGGTGCAGCAGTAAACTTCTCCATGGCTGACATGCCCAGCCAACCCTACTACCATGACCTGAACTCCAGCGTGGGGCTGCACCGCTCGCTCTCCTCCCCTCCCGGCAGGTCAGTGGAAGTCAAAGTAACAAAACAGACACCTTGGCACAGAGCAGGGAGAAGACCCTTCCGTTGAAACAACACTCAAGTGACATTGTTTTACTTTATGATGTTGTTCCTACCAGGAAAATATAGCAAAAGATGGCTTCATGCAAGGTCACGGCATCATTTAAAATTCAGAACTAACATGATCAGTAGAAAACAGACATTTAACTACATTAAAACTAATAATTATTGCCTTTGTTTTTCGCGTTTCTTTTTTTCACAGCAAAAGGCCCAAAACCGTCAGCATGGACGAGAACATGGATACAAGCCCGACAGGACCTGACTTCTACTCCTCACCCAGCTCCCCTGCCAGCAGTCGAGCAAACTGGCACGAAAGAGATGGCGGTAATTTTCCTAAATTTATTTATTGTTGCTTTATTTTCATACCGTCTTTATTTACTTCTGGGAGGTTCACAGGCATGCACACACTTTATCCTCTTCACCCTGCGTTGCATTCCTACCCCTGCACAAGTGCTTGGATGTTGCATGAGAGTGCGTTGACAGAATATAACTTCCATCCTCGTCATAAATAGATGAGATCAAAGTGAAGCCGCAGCATTGTTTTTTTTTACGATGGTGGAACTCTTTTAACTCTAAGCCTCGTCATAAGTTCCTGTATGTCAATGCCACTGTTCTTTTCTACAGTGGATGACTAGCATTAGGCCGTTTCTGCACATGAACATGTTCAGGCTAATCTAAGTTTGTTCTAGGTCAGTGAGAGCTGCACATAAATCAGCTGTTAGGTTGAAGTCATTTGAATTTAAGAGTATAAGAGTATATAACATTTTTTCATAAGGTGTTTTCACTGAGTACTTTAAGAACAAATGGTTGGAGATTTGAAACACCAATGAGAAAATGTGAAAAATGAAAAAAAAAAGTGTTTTTTTTATTTACAAAGTCTATTCATTTGTTTAGATCTCTTACAGATATAGTGTACTTTCTTAAAAAAAAAGATTAAATAGTGTAAGAATTATAATGTCATCTTTAAAAAAAAACCTTTTTTCGGTCAAACCGACAGAACATATAGGTACATTTTTTTAATTTCAGTTACCAAATATTTTGAAGTGTCTCAACGTTTTGACAGCAGGATCTCCTGCTCTATTTCTCCTTCCTTCATCTAACACAATAAGTAGAAAAGCACTGGTGGGATTCAACCACAGCCCAATGTGGGTACATGAAATTTCAGTTTGTCCCTTTGCACAAGGCCTGAGTGTTGCTCTGTGTAAACTTAGACACTTGGGGCGAGGAGAAAGGAAAAGCAGTGGGTAGGAAAGTCTCCAAAGACGGCCATTATTCTGTCAGGGGGGAATAAATGAGAAGTGGAATCATATTAAAGCCATATGAGGCCTCCCTTGTGCCAAGTGGTCATTTTTTTGCACATGGTTGTCGTTGGACCAAACCTCACCGTATATTGGAGAACATACTTTCCCTCAAATGTACTGCACTGAAAAAGTCAAATGAGTTACTCTCCACATTTCTGAATATTTTTAACGTCTTTGTTTTTTAAAATAACAAAAAAGACCCAGATGGGAAACTAATCTGATAACAGTTCATGAATTCTTTTCTACTGAAACATGTTCAGGTGCTTAATATCTCTTAAGTAATTGAGCTGTTTAAGGTCCTGAGGCGGTCGATTCGCTCTCTGAAGTTTCTAATTAGCAGATGAGAGGAAAATACCACCACTGTTGAAAGTACTTCCTATTTGTTACACAGAAACACTGTCAATCTTCTCGTGGCTTCTATCCTCCTACAACCCCAACGGAGGAAATCCCCTTGAATTCCAGCACCTTCGCTGCTGTGATTTTCTTTAATTGAATTTCTCTAGATCTTCCTTTAGCAGTAGAGGAGCTATACTGCAACAAATCCCCAGGGAAATGGTTTATATGGATCATAAACAGATCAATTCCGTTGTCGTTCAGTTGATGGCATTAGACCTATAAAGGTTGCTGTTTCGTTCAGTAGATCTGTTGAGTCAGCTAAGATGTTCTTTGACTGCAAAAATGATTAGCCAGCTCATTCTGATCCAGTGCAGATCAAATGAGTCAATCAATCAAATCTGCCTAATTTGACCCAAAATTCATGTTGGCACCTAATTCTAAAAAGTCATTAAAAAAGAAAACTTTATTTTTCAACCACAAATTGTCTTGTTAGTTTTTCTGCATTAATTACATAATTTGTTTTATATTTTTTACAAAGAGCAAACTTGGAAACTTTGGTAAAAATAAAGCTTTAAAAATAAAAACATAATTAGAAATTATATTATATAAACTTAGAAATAATAAAAGAAATTATATTCAACATTGTTTGAAAAGGGCAAATTTAATCCCCTTTTCTTTAACTGCACTTATTTCTCATAGTTGGGTACAGAGAGAATATTTATGATGCTAAGGCAACCAGGATATTTTAAAATAGCCCCGACCTCGAGCAGTTTTTCATGAAACAGCATGTAGAGGCTTGAAGGTCCTGCCCTTGGCCTTTACCTACAAAGAAATATCCATGACGCAAAAAAACAAACAAAAATAAACCTGATTAAATAAAATAGATGAACACTATTTTTTAAACTCTTATTTAGTTTTGCATGTCTGTGTTGATGTGTGATTTCCTTTCTCCAAGCAGACATGTCCTCGCCCACCATGAAGAAGCCAGAGAAGCCTCTGTTCAGCCCCACATCTCCACAGGACTCCTCGCCACGACTCAGCACTTTCTCTCAATCTCACCACCCAGGACTAACAGGTGTAGGACACAGTGGTGAGTAGCTGAGGACCCAGACCACTGCCCTGTTTGATGATCTTGATATCTAATGGACTTTTCTTTTCTCCTGAACACAGTTGAAAAATCTATGCTGATACTTCATTTAGCCTTTAGATCAATGCTGATTGCTTTATCTCAGTCATTACCTCCCTCATGACTCCTCTGCCTGTTTCCGTGGCAGTTATATCGACGAGGAGCCCCCCTCCACACTCGCCCCTGCAGTTCTCTGCCTCGGCTATCCTGCCCCCGGCACCGTCGGCCTACTTCCCACACAGCACCATCCGCTACCCGCCCCACCTCAACCCTGCTGATCCTCTCAAGAGCTATGTGCCGTCGTACGACCCGTCCAGCCCGCAGAGCAGCCAGGTCAGTCCTTAAATTAAATATATTTCTTTTAAATTTGATTTCTCTTAAAAAACACGATCTCCAGGTCAAAGCTGAGTTTGGCAGCACTTCATGTTCTCAAGTAACTGCGTGTTACCTTATTTGGCTTCATATCTGGCTTGAGGTGAGATAAATTATAGCATGCATTTGTCATTATGTCATTACGTACTCAGTAATGTCTTTGCACGTGATGAAACATCATCGAAAGCTGATGCTGTTGGATTTTTTTTTTGTTTAATTTATGGGTTTTATTTTGTTCGTGCATTGAGGGATTAACCTAAACATATGGATGCAAAATTTAGTTTTAATTAAAACCCACAATGTGTGAATAAAAGGTCCTGCACAAAATATATATATAAAAATAAAACAAATAAGTCACAGCTCACACAGAACTTGTACAACACAAGAGATTCTCTCTCACTACAGTCCTACAGCTTACAGTACTTTAAGCCAACCATAAATGAGTAGAGAATTATGGAAATGTAATTTACTTCTTATTGTCAACCCTTAAAATGGCTTTACAAGCCACAAATGAAAAATTTATGATGAGCATAATTTAGAGAGTCTTCGTGTTGAGATAAAATATGACTCCGAGATTAAGACACATTTTATTGTAAATACTGGATACATTTGTGTAATTTGCAGGCAATTTGCAAATTGTAATATAAAAATGGATTCAGCCCGTTCTGAGACTAGAATAGACTTTTTTTTTTGTTTTCTTTTCATTTGGTATAAATCTTTTTCTGAAGGCTTCTACACATGCCTTGACTTGTATTTGTCAGAAAACACACACACACACACACACACACACACACATACACAACCAGATGACTCCCTAACCCAAAAGTCAACCAAACTATTGCAACTGCAGTCACAGGCGCCATGCAAAATTGTATCAGGACACTGTGATAAATCATATAGCTCAGGCCTTTACACCCTGAGTACACAGTGCAGCCAGTGTGTTTGAGAGCGCTGGAAGGCGTCTCTATAGATGAGAGAGCTGTGCGGTATTTATGTGAGTTTTATATCCCCGCTGTTCTCACTGTAAACAAAGGCCTCGTAGACGGCTCCATCTCCTGAGCAGAGAGCAGGCTGAAGGGGTGGGAGGCGGAGGGGGGGAGGGGAGGAGAGACTGTTACTCTAGAGAAAAACCGCAGGGAATGATAAAGGTTGTAAATATTTGCCGTTGCCGGGGCCCGGCTCTTGTGCAGAATTAACTGGCGCTCTGCTGGGGTGCTGGAGAGAAAGGGTGGAGGACGGTGGGCCCGGTGGTAGTAGTTGGCTCGCAAAATGGGTTCTGGTCGGGAAGACAGAGCGAGGAGACCAGCTGGGGGAGATAGTGCTGTGTGTGTGTGTGTGTGTGTGTGTGTGAGGCGCGGGGACTGGGCTGAACAAATAACACAGCGCTTATAATCCCGTGGAAAGGTGCCAGGATGTTTTTATGCTTGCTTTAACGCAGATTATATTACACTCTAATTAAACATTCTATTCACATCCCAGGGAACCCTGTGGACACAATTCTCTCCAAAAAAAAAGGCCTGTTTGAGTTTTGAACCTAGGGCGGCCCTGAAACGAACGCCCCAGACAGTCTGCGGCCATCTGAAAGAGTAGCTCCCAGGAGCTCCCTTTATTTCCTTCTGCATACATACACTCCTTTAGCCTCGCTCTCTGTATTGGTGCTTTCAGACCTTTGTAACCGGTCGCACCGCTGCTTTTCTTCTGTCTCTCTTTTTACACTTGCTACCTCTTAAATTTTATTTACGAGCAGCATTAAAACCATTGTTCAAAATCATGTTGGAAATCCATTGACGGTGGCTGAGCATCTATTGTTGCTCCTGCCCCCCAGAGTTTAGTTTTAACTGTGACAATACTGTGTACTACAGTACAACTTCTCTCGAGGCTAAGGATTAAATGCTAGAAAGACTTTAGGGGGAGAACTGTGCAGTTGAAAGCACAGGTGGTGGATGTAAGGGGTGGTGTAAATGTATGTGTGTATATGGTGGTTTTGTGCAGCTAAGCATATTTAAAAATGTAGCTTTGAACATGCTGGTGTTACTGTACTGAGATCTGTTTTATTACATGTTGACAATGAAGTCAGTTGGCCACGTTCAAGGTCAGATGCTTGCTTAGAAAATGAGCAACTCAGGCAATCAAAAACCTCTCTCTTCCTTTATTATGGTGAAATTTACAGCAGATGTCGATTTGCGCAATTGCATATAATTTTATATTCCTGGAGGACCCCCGTTCCTGCACATGGTTTGGATTATATGTTTCCTTCTTGCACCTTTAGCCTATGTGTGTACCACAAACTGTAGATTTGTGTTCATTTTAACAAACAGAAACCTGATGAAGTTCCAGCTGAGCTCAGATTGGAATGAAAAAGTTCATTGATCAATAATAAACAGAGATAACACTTTGTCCTTTCTGCAGCCTAACAGCAGTGGTCAGGTGGTAGGCAAGGTTCCAGGCCACTTCACACCAGTCCTGGCTCCTTCTCCACATCACAGCGCAGTGCGACCTGTCTCACTCTCCATGCCTGACACCAAGCCCATCACAACGTCCACAGAAGGTGAGTCATAGTCTTGACCCACTGGAGACACACTCACTTCCACTCCTCCATTATGACCAAACTTGGCCGTTTACAATGCATTTCTTTTGACCTTTCATATTCTGGGATTAGCAGTGATTTATGTGACTGGTATTTGTGTCTTTTTCATGAACGTTTTTGCAGCAGTAATATGATGTAATATGTGTACATGGATATACATTTACTTGCATATGCATGGCTAGCATTAACAGAGAAAATGTGAAACTTGTTTTAATAAATGTTTAGCAATTACATAATTTAAATCCTTAATAGTTCTATTCATTATATTTTATTTTAATGAATGGAAATAATTTATTATCTTTTTGAATAGTTTTTTGAATAATAAAAAAATATATAATTTCAAACTCCTAACAAGAGAATAGGTACATTAGGTACAAATACTGTACATTTTATAGGTTCTATTTATAATGCTGTTTTTATAACGCAAGGATATGGTTTGTTTTTTTTTGTTTTGTTTTTTTGTCTTTTGTGATGGTGCGTTATCTAGTGTACTCCACCCCTGGAACCCCAACAGCTAATCGTTTTGTCGGCCTAAGCCCCAGAGATCCCACCTTTCTCCACCAGCAACAGGTGAGAGCTCCACCTTTTCAACACTTACTCTGCTTCTCCTTTCTACTCATTTTTTTTATTATTATTTTCTCATCTCCTTGTCAATTAGTTTAGAAGTAAATGACTCACAAAAAATCACACAATGAATCAAATTTAATTTTGAAAGTGTGTTTGTAAATTTTGATCAGATCAAAACAACACTAGTCTAAATTCTCACCATTATTGGATGTATTGCTGTATCCATATTAAATTACAACACATGGATTGAATTTTGGTAAATAACTGATTAGTGGATAAATTATCAAGTCATGCTCATAATCCAATTTGATCAGATTTAGGTTCTGCCATAAATTGGAAGTTTTGTTTTAGTTTGATAGTTTTCTAACACTTTTATGTCCTTCCATTTTAAACCACTGATAATCTATTTGTCTTTTGGTTAAGTATGACTGAATTACATAGATGATGCTAAGCAACAGATAATCCTAAGGTTTAATAAGAAGGCTGAAAGGCCATGGAAATTAAAATTCAGGTGTGTGCCATAGTGAGGTCACTTTAAAGACAGAAATGAAGGTGTCAGGAAACTCACTGTCACGGTGTGACCACTACTCAGAAGATGGATGGGACGTGTGGGTGTCCTTGAGAGTGTAATGTGCTCAGCTGTATTTCCTCTGCACATTACTTTGGAAACTCTCACACACATATACACACACACACATACCACATGTAATCAGTACACTCCCTCATTTACGGTACGCAAACCGAATATTTACTGTTGGCGTCGCGCGGTTACTCCATCACTGGTCCTAGGACAGATGTGGTGACCTGTGTGTGTCTGTGTGTGGGTGTGGGTGTGTATTTGTGTGTCTGCGTGGTTAGGAGCGTTGCGGTGCTGTCGGACGGGAGAGAGTGCTCGCCCCCACCCCGTCTTACTGAAAGCACTGGTCTAAAGCCAAGGCTTTTCCAACCACAACTAATTGAATGCATCTGCACGCGGCTACATGATGATCGCTGGGTTTTCTCCTCAGCTTGCCTGTTTTTTTTTCCTGTGTTTAGTAAAAATGACAAAGCTGGCCTCTGTTTCCTCGCTTCTTGGTCTGTCTCTCCTTTTTCCTCTCTCTCTCTTTGTCTCTTATTTAAAAATCAGAGTAGGTGAAAAAAGAAAGTAAATGTTTGTCAGCAGTCGTGGGATGCATGAAGAGTTCAGGGAGGATTCACTTGGCTGATGTTGCACAGTTCGCCTTCCACATTTTCTAGTAGCCCTGCTACTTCTTTCATTGGTGTACAAAGTGACTACACAAGACAGCGGCCGTCTGAGCATAGCTGCGTGACCCGCTGAAATTGGTCCAAAGCCTGGCTCTCACAGCCTGTGAGGACTTTTTGTTCCAGCAGTAAAAGTGTAAATCAGCCAGACTCTCAGATAAATGTCCTCCCCAAAAAACACAGAACATTAATGAAATAAAAACAAGTTACTTGTAATTATCCAAAATTGAATTATCCAAAAACATATTTTTGGAACCCTACAGCATGCTAAAATTAATTATTTATGTCCCTGGAAAGGACAGAAAACATCAGCTCAGATATATTTGGATTTTATCTGCAAGGGAAGGAGTATTGTCAGAAGAAAATAAAGGTGTGTGATGGAAAAACCCGACGGAGATAAAACCTAAAAGTGACACTTCTGTTGAAGATAATTAGATGCTACATCCAGATGCGCAAATGTTCTTTTCGGCTCGGAGAACTTTTAACAGTCTCCACATTGATTCATCATACTTGTGCTTGTTGCAGTTGTTTTTGTTTTCTGTGGTATGATTTAACGGCCTGGAATCTGGGCTCGTGGCGCAGTACCGACTCGGAGCCAAGTCCCTGAGGACGAAACACTTTCACTGAACACTTTAACTGAATGCTCTATCATTGTCCTCATCTGGCGAAGGGATGTTTATTATGTGGGATCCATGTGGCTTTGCTGGCACTTTGACTTGTTTAGTTTCAGCTGTTTATTGCCTGGTTGGGTAGGAAGAGGAAACACGTCACACACACACACACACACACACACACACACACACACACTGAGCCTTGTGACAATGTTTTTTAAAATTTTCTCAGCACTCACTCAGGCTGCACCTCAATCTGTCTGTCCATCTGTGTGATGGATGGAGTCCATCACTTTTTCTGCTTGTGTCTCTGCTGCCATCTGATGACAGGAGAAATCAGAAAGCTGTTTTTATTTTTTTATTTTTTTCTTAGCTTAAATTATTGAGCAGATCTTAAGGATCTTTATTAGGCCTTTAGCCCATCTGTGAATAACAGTAAGGTTGTTCCATTATGATAACACTGACTTAATGGAGAAGCTTAAAGCAACCTACTTTTCCTAGAAGAGGCTATTTTAAGAAGTGGCACTGCTTAAATAGAAGTCCTTGGACACACACACACACACACACACACACAGAGAGAGAGAGAGAGAGAGAGAGAGAGGGGCTTTAGAGATGAAGAAACACAAAAACAACAACCCCACTCTCTCACACCTGCTCTACGATTCCCAGGCAGCGAATGTGTGAAAACCGTCCATTCATCTCTTGCCTTGGTTAACCCCTCCAGGGAATGCCACCATCTAGCATTCCACAGGGAAAGATCCATGATCAGATGTCATTTGGTATTATCTAAGGAAGGATCCTAATCCACAATCTGCCTGCATCTGTTTGCTAACGTTCGCCCTTTCCCCCGCTGCCTGTGCCACTCTGATGTGCCGGTGCCAGTGGACAGATGGCGAGCCCCTCGAGGTGTGGTGGCACCGAGCGTCTGGCCCAACCCGCACATTCTCTCCAAGCTTTTGTCAGGCTGGGGAGTGCGGGAGCAGTGTGGGGGTTTAGTCTCCCAGCCTGTGATAATCGCAGATAAACACACTGGATGGAACAACAACCAAATTGCTTCTCATTCAGTTTCTTGAGATGAATATGGAAAGTGATTTTAACACGACCGAGCTTTTATGGTGGTAGTTACTCGCCGTTATTCTCTCTTCACTCTCTTTTTCTTGCCTCAATTTCAAGTCAGGACACTGAGCACAAGTACATACATTAATGTAGTCCAAAGTGGAAAACCGTCTTCTCTCACTGTGTTCATCCAGGTGCTGGGATGAATTAAAAAAGGAAACACAGTTCTTGACCGCTGCAAATGTCTCTGAATATTCAGTGAATGCGTGTGTCTGATTAAATTCCTCTTAAGTGCCTCTGCAAAACGTCTGCCAGAGCATGCAGAGTGCTAACAGTGCAGTTTTATCCTGATACATTACTAAATGAGTGCGTTGACCACAGGGCAAGGTTAGGTTGGTATTGGCAGGGATAGCTCTCAGCTGGATTGCCGGCACATGCACTCGCATAATGCATGCAAAAGAGACGGCGTTCATGTGTGGCTTTTTACTCCTTTTTTTTTTTTTTTTTTTTTTAAGCAGTAATTTGTAATCTGTATGTAGGGTTAGCATGTCAAGAGACTAGAGGAAAGACAGGGCGTGTGTGTGTGCGGCAGTGTGTGTATATGTGCTGTTGACTCCTAATCAATAAAAACATTTAGCTAATGAAAAAGCGTCTGCATGTTTGAGGGCATGTGTACTCCATCCTGAATCTGATAGTGCACTTACACTGTAGCAGTGATTGTGGACAGGGTGCATGCATCCATTGGACTGCATGGCTTTTATTGGCTAACCAGCAACATCAACAATGTCAAAACTACCAACAAAATGCCACTCACTTTATGTAACTAACTTTTTCACCTTTTTTTCCATACTTGCAGGTTAGCAGTCATCCCTCACTTTGACTGCATGCTTTTGTCTCCTCAGAAAACCGTTTCTGGAAAAGTTGGTACACTTTCTTATGATGTAAAAAAAACAGTTGATTTTTTTTAACCCATGGGAGTAAAAAGAAGGTTTTCAATAAAAAACTGAAAAATGTCAGTGATGAAAAATCACTGTCATTATGACTGAGGTTTTAAAGCCTCTGTCTGTAATGGTTTGTGGTCTATAGTGTTCAATTGGTGATCTGCAGAATTTCTTTTTTAATGAATCTATGTCACTCTGCAGTAAATAAAAAGTCATGGCTTGCAGTCCTGATCTGTCTCCTGTCAACAATGTCTGGCAAGTCCAGAATAGGAGAATCGCTGGCATCAGACTGATGAACAGCTAAAGTATTTTAAACAGCGAGTGTTGGCAAAAGTTCAAAATGCAAAACTGCAACAATTAATATCCTACGTTCCTAAGTGATACAATGAGGTCAAAGGAAAGGTCATGTGACTTAAAGGTATCTTCCTTTTTGACCTACAATGAGGTCAAAGGAAAGGTCATGTATCTTCCTTTTTGACTGCAGACAGTGTAACCAAATTACAGGGTTTTATTTTATTTTTTTACAAATGTTAGCAAGTGTACCAACTTTTCTGGACACAGGGTTTTTGTATGTCTTAGCCCTAGCTTTAATTTAAACTGTTATTCTAACCAATAGATGTAATGAATTTACTGATTCCTTTCACTTGTCTGACCTTGTCAGTTCCAATCAGGACACGTTTAGGAGTCATTTTGTATTTGTGCTGCTCTTGCTCTACAGGCTGTTGTGCATGTATCTCTGTGTAGAGTGTTGAGTTGTAGTGTTATCTGAAGTGGACGTTGCATTGGCTCAGTGATCTGACTGCTAGGTTTCAATTGACAGCTGAGGAAGTGTGACTGGAGCGTGACTCAAAACGGCAGACATTATGGCCCCAGTGCCACTGACGACACTTTGGGGATTGCTTGGCAAAGGTAACCTTTTCATTCTTTCATGCCATTTCTCTGTATCACACACACACATGCACACAGTGTATATAAATGTATATGAATGCTATATTATTTGACCTTTTCACTTTCTTTCTGCTTCTTAAACTTTAATATTTGACCCGTTCTACTTTCTAGTTCAGATACATTTGTAATTGTTGAAGTCACTCCGTGCAGCTGTTATGACTGTAGTGGGATCGCCGTTCACTTCACACAAGTTAACATTTTAGACTTTAGGGATGAGCTCATGCATTTTTGTTCTGTCCCTGGTGTTTTATTTATTCCCTGTTCTTTTGTCTTTCCTTCCGTCCTAGCTGTAATAGTTTTACTGTATGTCTTTCTCAACATTTTTAGGAATTATTTCAAAACTCATTTTTTTGCATCTCTAGGGAAACAAAAGCTGTTACCGAGCTTTATTTATTTTTATTTTGCAAAAAATGTTGTTATTATTTTTATATTTATTTTTATTTTGCAAAAAATGTTATATTTTTTTTTTGTAACACAACAATTCTAATCAGTCAAATGTATACATCAAAAAATACTTGGAGTAGTGGTAAAATAATTCAAGCTTTCAGAGACGTTTTCTACATGCAGAAAAAACTGGGAATATTGTATTCCAACATTGCACACTGTTTTTTTGACATGTGTTTTACTCTTAAAATGTTGTAAGTTCACAGCCAACAGACAAGCAGTGTTTTCCTTGTACCGATTTTCCTAAAGCCTATTAGAACAAACCCAGTCAAACCAAACAGAGTTAAAGTCCTTTCAGGTCATTTTGGGATTTGTGGGCATTTAACTGTTCACATTCAAACAGGCTTAGCTTTGTTTAATTTTTTTCGCTTAAGTCATGCTTTACGCTCCTTAAACTTAAGTCACATAAACCCACTAACCCTCTCCTTCCTCCTCCACCGCTCCAGTTGCCGGCATCTCTCGCCCTCTTGGGAAAAAAAAACAACTAAAAAACTAAAAAAGAAAACGAAGCCCTTTCCTGTTACGTCTCCCTTTTCCTCTGTTTCCCTCTAAGTGTAGAGTGTGTGTGTGAGTACGTGTGTGAGAGTGTACATTTTGCGCTGACTGAATGTACACCTTTTTTTAACAAGCACACATGCACACAGCAGAACCCCCTTCAACAGGCCTCCTAATAGGCCAGTGGAGGTAGCAGAGAAAAATGTACCCTGCAGCAGCATCAAATCTGTTTTACCCCGCGCACACAGCAGCCCGACCGCTGCACCTCCCTACATGAGGCTGTACACTAATGAGCATAAATAAAACCCACTCCAACTGAATTCACCCTGTGTTGCTGCAATGATTAGACTATTTTTTAACTGTTGAACATTGAGATCAAATCAGCTCTGTTACAATGCTGCCCCCCCGCTCTCCACCTCAAACTGAATCACTCCGCCATGCTTCTTCACTGCAAGCCCCAAATTACAAACTCTGCCAGACTCGCTTCTTGCCATTGTGCAGGAAATGGGTCAGCAATCCATTAAGATGCCATTAGATAATCTAATTTAGGGAGCTAATCCTTAAACGAAGCCGCTGTATGGCCGGGCTGTCCCCGCAGTGAGGAGAATTAGGAAGGTTTAGGAAGTAGACAGGGTGAGGCAAGGCCAACATGAAGGTTACCTGAGGAAATATAATAGTGGAAGACAAGCCTGCTTGGAGTGAAAGTGATATCAAACCAAAACCGAATCAGAGGGCAGCCCAGCTCCTTTGCTCTTATGGAACAAATTCGGATGAGTCCCAGAATTCCTTCAGTTTGGATAGAGTTTTGATATCAGGCTGGATCAGCAGTGATGGGATTACTTCATCCCCCTTCACTTTCTGACTGATGAGTTAGGCAGTCCTTCTATCAAACTGCACCTAAGCGCAGATGTAGACTGACAGCTGTCGATTTAAACAAGATTAAAACCGATCTGATGCTGTTGAGAGCACAATGCGCCTGCACATCTGCTTTTGAAGCTGTGTGGTCCCCCTGATGGTAGCCATTACCTAAGAAGGGTGAATATGGAGCTGCAGAAGAGGGGAGGAAGAGAGGGAGGAATGAGAACGTAAGATAGAAGACGAGAGAACAGGAAAAATAAGATCTGCACTCTCTGGTCTGCAAGGTAGGAAAAATAAAATCCCCCGTTTCTTGTCATGTTTTTTGGCGGGGTGAAGGAAGAAAAGAGGTTAAAAAAAAGAAGGAGAGCAGAAGAAAAAGAGAAGACACCAGGAAAAAAATGAGTTCGTTGGAAAGTTTTCTTTAAAGTTGAAGGATGTTTTTGTTTCTCCTCTCCCTCTATTTACACCGTGATGTGAATTCAATTTGCAATTCAATTGTTTTAGGAAAAAGAGCAGTGACTGGTGATTTGTATAAAACTCAGACTGCGTGATGGGCTGCTTTCATGGAAGCAGACGTTGTTGTTTAAATGTGAAGCTTCACAAAGAAACCTTTTCCTCCCAACTCTCCCGACCTCGGCCTTGTCTGCGTTTTTGTTTTGTCCTTAACACCTCTTTTCTTCTTGTCATCCGTCTTCATTTCATTCTTTCCCTTTTCCTCCATCTATCCTCACGCTCTTTCATCCTCAGTCCTCCTTCCTTTCTGCTTCAGGCCAGGTTTTAGCACCGGTTCACTTTAGTGAGTGGAGAAAAAGTTTGTCATCAGAGAAGTGGCGATGCAGGTATTTTCATACGTAGCGGGGGGGCGGGGGGGTGCTGCCACGGGTGGGAGGGTGTTAGATGTGTGTACACTGGGGACCTGTGGGGAAGCAAAGGGGGTGAGGGAAGGGGGCTAATTATCTGACATCTACGTAGTGCAGCACCCCTCGGGAACAACATGCTGTTTGTTCCTCGCTTGCGTTTTCAGTTAGCACCGTTGCTCTCCAGGAACAATCACTGTGTTGTTTTGCCATTAGCGTGAGATGAATAGGGATGGGACAGCTTTGTGTAGAGACCCCCACTCCTTCCACCCCCACCGTCTACACTTTTTTTAACCCACATCCACCCTCCCCATCCTCCACCGCCCATCAGACCCCCCCAACCCCCCTCCCCGTCATTCTTTTCTATACTGCTGTCAATGCAAAGACGGGCTCCTGCGTCAGGGCTGGCTCACATGATGTTCTTGACTGGGGATCAGGTAAAATCACCTCAGATATGGCTGCGATTTCTCCTGTTCTGGTTTAAAACTATAAGAGTAGCAGGACCGTGGCTCTCAATGACAGTATGTGGAGCAGTGATGCTGGTCATTCAGGATATTTGGAAGAAGGAATTTGTTTGCATGCTGCTGAAACACGATTATTGACATCTGACTTATCTCTCTCTCTCTCTCTTTCTCTCTCCCCCTGACCCTCCAACCCTCTCTCTGTCTCTCTTCACAGTCCTGGTACCTGGGCGAGCTTAGTTCCATTCCAAGTGTCGAACGGGACTCCGATTCTGCCAACAAATGTCCACCAGAACTACAGCATAAACATCATTGGTGAGCCGCTGGTTCCCGCTGAGACAGGGAACTGAACCTGCAGAGGCCGGACAGACCCCCCCCCCTCACTCTCAGGGCGACTTGGTGGGTGTAGGGGGGGTTGTGTTGGTGATGCTGAGCTACAGTAGCACTAGAGGTGTCCGCAGCCATGGATGAAACCAGCAAAGCAGCTCAAGCTGCACAATTGTTCCTTCATCCCTCTCCTTCCTGCCTTAGTCCCGCCCCCCACGCCCCAACCCTCCTGTTCTCACATCATCTGTGTCTCTCCCTGATTCTGCTCCCCCTCAATCCCCAAACACGATGGACCCTGTCCATAAAGTGAAGACGCGTCAAAGGACAGAGACATACACATAAAAAAAAAAATGGATAAAACAGCAACCAAGCCCAGACCATCCCGTACATCCACCACCCACCAGTCAGTGGTTGAATTATCAGAACTTTTCAGTTCGTTCAAATACTGTGATGTATAGATGCCTTAATGTTTTATTGCATGACACTCTAGTCTCTTAGAGGCAATTTCCTTCTATTTTTATTTTTGTGTCAGGGGAAAATGTAAAATCTTGACAGACACACATATACATGAGTGAATAGGTGTGTGTTAGGAAAAATAATTCTCAACAATCTCTGCCTGGTGGATGCTCCGAGACTCTGAGCTCTTTCCAAGTCTGACCTCTTATGAAGAGGCTTTCGCCTGTCAAATGATTCACTGTGTACAACCATAGGATCAAAAATCATGAATTCAGTGTTTCTCTTCCTCTTCTTCTTCTTCTTTAACTTCTTCTTCTTCTTCTTGTTCAACTTCTTCTTTTTTTGAGTTCAGTTTACTGTGATATGACATGTTTGGGAAAGAAATTGTGTTGACTTTGTTTAGTCTTTATTGCTATAGTACTTTCTGCAAGGATTAATGTAAACTCCCACTGTGAGAGTTGAGAACTCTTCATGTGGTTTAAGTAAAAAAAAAACACTAAATCTAAGGTTTTGAGATTTGACCCCCCCTTGAACGATTTCCAAGTCCTTTGCAAAAGGACTAAGAAAAAAAAGAGATGGAGAATGAGAAAATATCGAAAGAGGCAAGTGCAATTGAATTTTTGAAGGGAAGCTATCAGTCTGTCATCCCTAAGACTCTAAAGGAAAGGGGATAAATATAAAATGGTCTTGTGAAAAGATGAAAAAAAAAAGTTTTGGAAAACATTGAAAATTTGATTGCAGTCCCATAATCGTCTCCTGACAAGAGAAAACATCAGACATGAATTACATTTGAAGGCAAGCACTGAGCTACGTGTGCAGCGCTGAGCGAAACCAGCACCTCCTTTGAACCCTTCCTCTCCCTGTGGGAAGTTTTATTTTTATTTATTCTTTGGATTTAAAAAAAAAAAGAACATAAGTAATTTGACGCACATAGTGTGTATCAAAAAAAAAAGATGGCGTTCAAGTGCTCTATGATAAGATCAGGAGCATATGCATCGGGCCGTCAGCTTCTAAAGCTTATGTTTACAGGAAAAAATAATGGAATGCAAAGTGTTAATTAATGGAATTGTCCATTAGGCTTATGTGTAAAGCTGCAGCTTGTGCAAGGTTAACACTGCAGCGGAAGAGGGTGAAAACTGAAATTATGAAACCAGGTGGTGGCAAATCCCTGAAATGTAGAATTGTGCACGGCATGTTCACAGCCATTGCCTCTCCAGCCCAGACATATTTATATAAGGAAAAAAATGTTTTCTCAAACTTAATTTGCACGATGACATATTGTCCACATTACGTGCCTTGCCTTTGACTATAGAGACATCACTACACTTGTTTTTTGCTGCATTTATCATTATAGAGAAAAGAATTAACATTTTTATGATAAGAATTGTTTTGTACTCTGAATGAAATTGTTGATTTTTAACTTCATGTACTACTCTATCTCACAGTTACTTTGCATATCAAGGCTGTGTATAGTTGCCGTTTTAAAACGTTTGTAATCAACCAGCAATTTTTTTTTCTCCTCAGTATTGGTGGGTTTTTGTTTTTGTTTTTCAAATAACCTGTCATCTTTTTTTCTCCTTATTTCAATTTGCTCATTTTTGTTCATCTTCCAGTTACTATTGTGGAGGGTGGAATTCAGAAATACGAACATTATGCAATACCAAGTTTTGCCTATGTAGGTAGTGCTTATAGATGCGTCAATAATTAGAGGCTAGTTTGGAGATAGATAATATTGTAATGCATTTATTTTGTTGATATCGTTGTTTGTCGTTGTTGTTGTTGATGATGTTGTTGTTGTTGTGGGTGTTTTCCTTTTTTATTGACCAAAGTGGGGACTGCTTTCTATGCAGTGGATGACAAGGTCTTTTTTTTTTCTTTCTTTAGCTTACAGGTATACTGAGTGACAGTGAGACATGATCCAGTGTGTTTTTTGAATTTGCGGGGTTGGGAGTAGGGGGCTTTCTAGAAGTACTTTTACAAACAAATTGCACCCTTGGTCTTTGTTACGGCTGCAAAGTCACAAATTGGTTTACTGTGACTCTTACTTTTAACTTTCCACATGGGGTGCTAGCGTGTGACCTTTGAAGGAGCTCATTTTTCACGGGAGGGAAGGCTTGACTTGAGTACGACAATCACTTTAACTAATCATTTTTTCCTAGAAACCCCATCGTAGGACCCCTTAATGCCACAGCTGAGGACAGAGAGGGGAAGCTGTGATTTTTATCAAACGCAGTGCAGTGCCATCTCTGACGCCACCGAATGCAAACCCAAGTAGATGCCTTAAACACATCAGTAAAGTGGCCTGAATTCTGCGCAACAATCACACACCAACTAATGCTCGTGAGACCTGTCCAAATCAACTCCAGACAGGCTCAGGCAAGCCTTTAGAAAGTATTTTATAAGCAGCAGATTTGTACAAATGTATATATGATATGCACTTATCAAATCCTGAAATAGAGTCCCTTAGAGTATGATGAAGCAAATATTAGACCATAAAAGCGTGGCGTTTACTCACTCATGCGGTGGTCCCACAGAGGCCTAAATAGAGTCCAGTAGAAGAAAAGTATTGTACCCTAAATAGCACATAGGCAATCGTCTTCTTCCCCCATACTAGTCATAAAAATTTCTCTCAGGCGTACTACAGGGCATTATTTAAAACAATCATTATCTTATCATTGTTAATGTAAAAAGAAATCTTTGTCTTTCAGAGAAAAAGCAGCA